ATTTTGGTTGAATTTACATGGCATAGAGTACTTTTGAAACATAATTAGAATTAATATATAATCTTGAGCGTATTTGAAGCAAAATTATATAAAATTTATCTTCTAAAGTTAATAATTTTGATAGTAATTTAAATTGAAAACTTAAGACCCCCAGAACGAAATTCTTTACCATTTTTCTCAAAATCCAATCTATAAAAAATTATAAAAATTAGTAAATTTATAAAGAAATATAAGTTTAACACTATCACCAATTTTTAGGGATTTTTATTCGATACTTTTTAAAATATATATTTTTAAAACTTGACGTGTAGAGAAAATTTGAAAAACGGATTCGAACTCAGCGTCAAATTCTGCACCAAATCTTGTTTTTATTTTCTTCTCCCATTTTTCTTGTCACACAGTGAATCGATATTAAGTTTTTTAAAAAAAATTTGAATATAGTCCGAAAAATATAATTTATAAAATTTTCCAGTCTTTATTTCTACAAAAATATTTTTTTATTTCTCCTTTCATTCACGTTAGGCCAAAATATAACCATTATCTTGGGGGTAACCTTTTTGAATGATAACACAAAATTTAACCAACCTTAAAGTTTTTTAAAATGATTTTTCACTTAGGCTTCAAAAAGATTTTTTTATATGAAATGAACAAATTATTATATTTCAGCTTAAAAAAGTTTGAAAAAATACGTCATAACAAATAAATATGACAAACAAAGAAATGAAGGAAAAATTCTCGGAAAAAAATAAGTGAATTTGAATTTTTTGAACAAAAATATATATATCTTTTGTCAAGAAAAGGATGCATTATTCTTCTGAAAATAAAGTATCTTAGATATAGATATAAGTATTTTACGTATCAGGTCAATTGTCGTTCGCGAAAAGTTTTTATAGCGAAGGTAAAATCGCGAAACCAATTCTGCGAATTTATCTCCGCGAAACATTTATAGCGATGACAATTTCGCGAATTCATTTCCGCGAAACATTTTACTCATACACTTTACAGCTAATTTTTTATCGCGAATATGTTTGCACGAAGTCATTATCGCGAGCGCATTACCGCGAAGCAATAAATATATTGCGAATGCATTTATTTAAAGGAAGACAACATATTATTATTATTTATTATTTGATGTTTTTTAATAAAAAATGTTAGGCTACTATTGTAATATTATTTTTGTTACAATTTAATAGTGATTTTCACGCCCAAGATTTTAAGTAAAAAATATTTCTTGAAGTTCAAAATGTTATTTTATATGATCTATCTCTTAATATTAAAAGAGGTGGGTTTTCTAAATAATTTTTTTTAAAATATTTTTATTCAACTTATTTATGTTATTTTATATGATCTTTTTAAGGAAAATAATTTTCATATTCGTTATTTTTAAGATTCTTGAAATATTTTGACTCAAAAGGGCAAAGATATTAGATATTAAATTATTAATTCAATGAAGATGTTCCTTGGATGGCAATTATCATATTCGGTATTTTTAAACATATTAGATTTTTTTAACGCTAATGGGCAAAAATATGTATTTTTAACATGTTAAATTATAATTTCATTAGGATGTATCATATAAAAACGAGAATTGTCATAATCATCATTTTTAAAATTTTTTTACAATTTTTTGACGTAAATGGGCAAAAATATAAATTGTTACATGTTAAAATAAAATTTTAGTGAAGAAGTACCATAGATATAAGTTACAATTGTCATAATCGTTGTTTATAAAGTTTTTTGAATTTTTTTGTTGCAAATGGGTAAAAATTTAGATTGTAAACATGCTAAATTAAAATTTCATGAAGATCTACCATTGAAAAGTGACAATTGTCATAATCGTTATTTTTAAAGTTTTTTGAATTTTTTTGACCAAAATGCGTTAATATAAGTATTGCTAGTATGTTTAAATAAAACTTCAGTGAAGATGTACCCTAGAAAAGTGACAATTGTCATAATCGTTATTTTTTAACTTTTTTGAATTTTTTTGACGTAAATGGGCTAAAATAAGTATTGCTAACATGTTTAAATAAAATTTCAGTGAAAATGTACCATAGATAAGTTACAATTGTCATAATCGTTGTTTATTTTGAATTTTTTTGTTGCAAATGGGTAAAAATATAGATTTTAATCATGCTAAATTAAAATTTCATGAAGATGTACCATTGAAAAGTGACAATTGTCATAATCGTTATTTTTAAAGTTTTTTGAATTTTTTTGACTAAAATGGGTTAAAATAAGTATTGCTAGCATTAAATAAAATTTCAGGAAGTTGTACCCTAGATAAGTGACAATTATCATAATCATTATTTTTAAACTTCGTTTGACGTAAATGGGCCAAAATATGATAACATATTTAAATAAAACTTCAGTGAAGATCTACCTTAGATAAGTGACAATTGTCAAAATCGTTATTTTTAAAGTTTTTTGTATTTTTAACGCAAATGGGTAAAAATGTAGATTGTAAATATGTTAAATTAGAATTTCATGAAGATGTACCATAAAAAAGTGACAATTGTCATAATAGTTATTTTATAACTTTTTTAAATTTTTTTGACGTAAATGGGCTAAAATATTGCTAACATGTTAAAATAAAATTTCAGTGAAATGTACCCTAGATTAGTGACAATTGTCATAATCCTTATTTTTAAAGTTTTTTGAATTTTTTTGACGTAAATGGGTAAAAATATAGATTGTAAACATGTTAAATTAAAATTTCATGAAGATGTACCATAGAAAAGTGACAATTGTCATAATCGTTATTTTATAACTTTTTGAATTTTTTAGACGCAAATGGTCAAATTATAAATTGCTTATATGTTAAAGTAAAATTTCAGTGAAGATGCACCATAGATAAGTTACAATTGTCATAATCGTTGTTAATAAAGTTTTTTTGATTTTTTTTTGTTGCTAATGGGTAAAAATATAGATTGTAAACATGCTAAATTAAAATTTCATGAAGATATACCATTAAAAAGTGTCAATTTTTATAATCTTTATTTTTAAAGTTCTTTGATGTAAATGGGTTAAATTATTGTAATCCATTTTAACCATATGTTTATAAAAATAAAATTTTAACATTAAATTTATAGGATGTTGATTGTATCATATTACTAAATAATATTCATATGGTTTTTAAGTTCTTTCTATAAAAATCCTACCCTGATTTCAGACTCAGCACTATTTTGCCACGAGTATACAAAAATATTTGCTAACTGTGAATGCAAGGTTATACATTTTTATAATGTAGAATTAAAATTTATTAATTAAAGGAATAAGATTTTGAATCCATATCTTTTAGCATAGTTTACAACTATCTTTAATAATCACTTTGCATATTTTTATCAAATTTTAAGCAGGATAAAAGGAACACAACGATTATGAGCATGAAAATATCGATTTGTTTTTTTGTTTCGACTGAAATTTTATTTTAACATGTTAACAATTTATATTTTTGTCCAAAATTCAAAAACTATAAAAATAACGATTATGACTATTGTCACTTATCTAGGGTATATCTTCACTGAAATATTATTTTAACATGTTAGCAATTTATATTTTAGCCCATTTGCTTCAAAAAAACTTTTAAAAATAACGATTGTGACAATTGTCACTATTATATGGTACATCTTCATGAAATTTTAATTTGGAATTTTTACAATCTATATTTTTATCCATTTGTATCAAAAATTTTAAAAACAACGCTTATGACAATTGTCATTTATCTATGGTACATCTTCAATTGATATTTTATTTTAACATGTAAGCAATTTATTTTTCATTTGCCTCAAAAAACTTTAAAAATAAGGATTATGACAATTGTCACTTATCTAGGGTACATCTTCACTGAAGTTTTATTAATACATGTTAACAATACTTATTTTAGCCGATTTACGTCAAAAACTTTAAAATAACGATTATGATAATTGTCACTTTTATATGGTGCATCTTAATTGAAATTTTAATTTAACATGTTAAAAATACATATTTTACCGTAAAAAATCTAATATGCTTAAAAATTTTTCCAAGGAACATCTTCAATAACGAATATAAAAATCAGATTAAATTATTTTCCTTAAAAAGATCATATAAAATAACATAAATATGTTAAATAAAAATATTATTTAGAAAACCCACCTCTTTTAATATACTTAAAAAATAGATAATTTTACAAAAATGATAAAAAAAAATAAAAAATTTCACCTAAAAGATTGTTTATTTATAATAAAATTCACAAAACAATTCCTCAAAAAAGATTTAAAATTTTTATCAAAATATGTTCTTCAAAAAGTTTTTTTTTTAAAATTTTGGTAATGAAAATCACTAATAAATTGACAAAAATAATATTACAATAGTTGCATATCATTTTTTTATTAAAAAAACATCAAATAAAAGAAATCCATTTTTCATTTCATAATAAATATAATAATATAAATAAAAAATATATATCATATAATGTTTATTTTTGATAAATAAAATATTAGCATTAAATATAAATAAAATAAATTATTTTAATAAAAATAAAAAAATAATAATAGGCCGCGTTATATTTCGCTATATTGTCTTCCTGATTTATGTTTCGCGATATTGACTTCGCTATAAAATTTTCGCGATTACTGATTCGCGATAAAAATTTCGCTCTAATAATCGCTTTAAAGGTTTCGCGATAAGAGTTTCGCTATAAAAAATTAGCGATATTTGTTTCGCTATATTGTTTTCGCGGAAAAGTAATCGCTAATGTGGATTCGCGATAAAAATTTCGCTATAAAATTCATTCGCGATTAACGACATTAGTGATAAAAGTTTCGCGATAAAAGTTTCGCTGAATTGACATGGAACCAGTATTTAATTAAGAATGTCAAAAAATGAGTACAATACACAAAAAGAATCTTGTATCTTAGATACAAGTATTCGCACTACTGCCCAAATTTTGCTGGAACAATATATGATACTATGGTTATTATAAATGTTTAATTTTTTTTAAAAATATATAAATCAATTAGTAAGCCACAATCAAAACACTTCAAGCTTCTACTACACTCTGAATGACACTCTTAAATCGTTGGTTGATCAATTGATACACGTATTATATATTGAATTGATAAATAATGCATTATTGTCTATTTTGTAATTTTTTTTATTATTAAAATGGGTCGTAACGTCGGTATCTATATAACGTTTAATTTTTTCGTTATATGTGTGGCCTCACCGTTTTGCTTGGGATGAATAATTAAACATGCAGGTTCCATGCAGAATAACATAAATATCTAAACACCCATCTTTGAGAAAAATCTTCAGACTTGCAAAATATTTTTCTGGGTAAAATATTCAGCTAGCCGTTACTGAAAACGGGCTCAAATCGAATTGTCAACACACTAGTCAACCTCCGATTTCCTTGGTTTGGACCAAATTATAGCGATTTCGTTTTTAAAACTATTTCGTGGTTTGATTTTACAATCGGTCTTCTGTTTGTGTTTTGACAAATTTCTAAATTATAATATCTTTTTATTAATTTTTATACCACCTTTTTGGGTCGATCCATTACGATATTGCCTATATTATTTAATATGGGCCAATTATGTATATCATAAACTATTTTGCTTGCTATATATTTATCAATATATTTTAATTTTTCAATGTACTCACCTTTTTTTTTTAAATATAGAATATCACCATCTATGACTATACCATAACCATAACACAGTCATTTAAAAAATATCCTCAAATTTCAATTAATCTTTTTATTTATTCAGTTATAATCTACTATGTAAAATTTATATAAATATTGAGAAATCGCTTATTTACATAGTAAATCGTTGCATCTCATTTTTGTTAAAATCTTTCTATCTTGTAGTAGAAAGTCAGTGATGAAAACAGAATAACCCTCCCCCCATTTTATTAATTCTGACTCCCAACCTCAATTATCAAATAATTTTTATCGCAATCTTTACTGTTATTAAAGGGCTCGTTTTGAGCCTATTTTTAAAAACGGCTAACTTAATATTTTATCCAGAAAAATATTACCCAAGCCTGAAGATTTCCCACAGATGATTTAGACATCTATCAGCAAAATCTCGAGCCTAATTTTTAAAATCGGCTCAAATCTAGCCGTTTAAACATTATTAATCTTTAATATATAATATAAATAATTCAGCCAAATTAAATAGGTTTTCTACTGCTTTGCTACTTTTATTAGACTGCATTATCAAATCTAGGGAACCATAAAACACTTGAAAATAAAATATTATATTTAATAATGAAAGTATATGTATATATACACCTTTCCTTTCATAACTGTAATGTTTGAAGCCTAGAACTTTTAAAATCAAGAGATTTCTTCTCTTCATAAAATCTTGTGACTTTTAAAAACAACACTCAAAAATTCATTTGTGCAAACCAAGGTTGTTATCAACGTTTACCCAAAACATAAAATAAAATGAATTTTTTCTATTCTAAAAAACTATAGTTCTAGCCATGTAAAAGTGACATGCTATGCTTTAAATTTGTCAAAGCTGTCTTCAAGACAAAAGTAGGAAAAAACATATCTTTATATGATAAATATAAAATAAACATTTTAAATCTAAATAAATATATAATTACTGCTCAGTTCCCAAAATTTATAAGTATCAAATTAGTAAATTTTTCTTCTTCTTTTAAACTTTTATTTTCTTTTAAAATCACAAAGATAAAAACCATATATATTTTTTACAAAAATTATTATTGCTCGAAAAAATACATATTTGTATACAATATATGGAAATGTGACTTAAAAATAATGCACATTCATAGAACATATCCCTTATTTTCGGAGATGTTTCCCATGCATATTCTATTAATTTATTCTAAAAATACTACATTATTAATTAGTTATTATGCAATAACGTTCTTTGAATAATTAATTACTTGGCTCAAACAGCATCTGCGCGAATTGCGCTTGCACCTCTTCTGTATTGTTCCTTGATTCCGGATTTATAATCACTCATTTTGATTTATAGAATATATGCCTTCTACCCTTTTGTGCCTCTACCTTCTTCCATTCTTAGGGGCTTTCCGGACGGTCATCAATTTAGGTTGTATGGACGAATCTTGATGCGATAGTTATCTTGGGTGGATTTTCATATTTCCATCTAAGTTGATTGCTAGGAGACCATTCCTTCCACAGGAATAACACTTGAGACTAGTTGGCTGCGTAATCTGTTGAGATTGCTCATGAATTGGATGCACTGGAAGTTGTATTGGAAAAGAAAATTCTCTCATCCTTTCAGAGGATTTGCCTGCTGTGTAGGAGCGGTATTTATTTGAAGCATCATATTGAGCATTTATTATTTAAATTGACTGTTACTTCAATTTTAATAAAAATTTTAAATTAATTAATAATACTTTTTGTAAACTTTAATTAATGCCGTTTATCAAAACAATTTTTTTTACTTTAACCATCAATGCTAATATATCTCATGTTTTTTCCATTTACGAATTTTTTGCTGACTTGGAATCAAAATAACGACGAGGAAAGGAAAATCATTTACCTAATATATTGTCAAGATTAAGAGCCAACAACGAAGAACAGGATATGAAGGTATAGATGAAAACCGAGAAGAAAATTGCTCCATTTCATTGGTTGTTAAATTTGAATTTAAAAGGTAGGATAAAAAGTGTGAAGGAGTTAAATTAATTGTATCGTTTAGCAAAGGATGAAAGTTGATTACTACTTATTTTTTTATTAGCATGTAAGGTGGTTAAAAACTTTTGCAAATTCTTCCAACAATATAATGTGTCTGAAATATTTAATTTATTAAATTTTTTAAACATTTCGCAATTGGTTTTAGAATTTCATTCATATCTTCAGCAGCTCTTTGAATGTAATATTTTCATTTCTAATTGCAATGTCGATTTTATTTTGATTGCTTTCACATTTAGATAATTTTACGTTAATAGGCATCTTAACTATCTACAACTGAGTTCCAACAAATTTAATCGTTGAGTAGTCTATGTAAATATAAACCTATGGGTCAAACAATGTTTCCTTGGCATTATCTACCGTTACTATAATTAAAAAAATAATATTGTTATTGTTACGTTTTGCGAATAAAGGGTTTTCTCAATCTTATATAATGAATGATATTTTGTTTTAAAAAATCGGTCCTCTTTTTATGTGGTTCAGTTCGGGTTGATCTTTGCAAATCGAAAACGTGACCTCCACTAATAAAAACTAGTTCCATTTTTCTTAATTTATTTAAATTTTGATATTTTAAAATCACACATTATTCCATATTGATAAACAAAATTATTCATCATTACTATTGTATCTTTCTCTCCATCTTCCTAGATATCTTCTACCTCAACCCCGCCAGCCTCCTGCTCTACCGCATCTTTTAACCTCGTCAAAAACTCGGAAAAATTGGCGTCCCCGCGATTTTTCACACCTCAAATAAATGCTGTCCTGCTTTCGGTCGAAAACGAGTCCCGCAAGAGCCTCAATTACACGCAACGATCTCGCATGTACGACCTTATAATGCGCCACGTGCCCTGTAGCCGAGATACCCTTTTGAAAAGGACCAAGAGACTTTGGCAAGAAGACAAAGAACACAGGCTGGACAAAGCCCTCGGACAGTTTCACAATGGTATAACCAGTGTTGCCATATGGCCTTATTTAATCGGGGTTTTTAGGCAACACTTAAAACGGCTAAACTGACATTTTTAGTAAAAAAACTACCACCTCAGCCTCAAGGTTTTACCCTAAGGAATGGCTCGAACTTTGAGAGAACTTGAAGATAATCAATTCCCGCCTCAAAGCTTATTCCATTTTTTTTGATTTTGTATTAATATTTTATATTATAACGCCGAAATTTTCCCAGAATAGGTCACATTTTTCCAAATTCAAAAAATTAAAATATTACCAGCTTACTATTTACTTTTGTTTTTTACTAATTTCAGCTTTAAAAATTTCCCTTTTTTATCCAATCCATACATTACCTAAATAAAAACGGGAGTTTTAAACTTACCATGTGACATTACCCGTGAACCCTGCTCATTTTTATTCACTAGGAATGGAGGGGGAGGGGCAAAGAGTACAAAATTTTGTTTATTTTAAAAAGAAAATTTTGAACTTAGTTTCAGATTAAGAAAATAAATCAGGCTTGATTTGAATTTTTAAAAACGGTGTTTCAAAATTTTCTTCTGTGTCACAATATCTATATGGGAAAGAACAAATTATATAGTTGTGGAAAATTTTATATGCTAACTTGAGTGGCTGGTACCAAGGATTCAAACTGAACCGTTAAACAGGTATTAACCCTTATTATTAACCGAACCTGAACCGGACCTCTAAAAATGCATGTTGATTAATAATCAGTTTTGACTGATAAATATCAGTAATTATTTTAGATATTTTTGTATTATAAGTTAGCATTTTGAAGTGTGTCATAAAATATATTCTTCCTTATAGATATAATTTGACAGAACAGAAGAAAATATCAATTTTACATAGCTCAATATGATTTTTTAGAGAATGTGATAAAAAAAAAGATTTAAGCGGATTTATTTAAAGCCTCAATAACATTACAAATGTAAACATTTTAAAATAAATAAAAGAACAAAAAAATTATCACATTAATTATCTCTGTCCAGCAGCTTTTTCCACAAAACAAGCTCTTTTAATTACATTATTTATCTTTATCACTCGAAAATATTAATCAGCACTCAAATGCGTCGACAAATCGCAAAAGGAAGCCATTTCCGACCCCCAATGGCCTAAACTGACGAGCGAGCTGGTGCTAACCAATCATGCTCGGAGATTCCTCGAAGAAGTGGTCACCTTAAAATTGGAATTCTGGGACAGACAAAGGCATTACCATAGCCATAGCTCTCAAATCACGCCCCTTTTATACGTTTTGGAATTCGTCAAAACTGACATTGTCTCCCGTTTCCCACGGAATTCTGACGAACTCAATATCGAGTTAGTTTTTTTACTTGGCGATTTTTGCGTAGTGTTGTTTATTTTTATATCTAATCAATGGTTTTACTCGTTACTTTTCCAATAAATGTAACGATACTTTTTTTATTAATAACGATTAGAATAACGTTATTCTGTAACTGTATTTACCGTACTTTTTTTATTTAGATATATTTTATGATATATTTGTAAAAATATTTTTGTTGCATCAGGTTTTTAAAGAATTTTATAGAGCCGTTCGTTGACGCTTATCAAATTTTTACCAAGTAAATTATATTATTTTTTTGCTAGTTACACAGAGTAACCTTTTTACTAAACCCATTCTCTATTTTAGATATCATAGTAGTATTATAGGTAGGTTTGATAAAAAACCCAATTTGGATCCATTTTTAAAATCGAACTAATTAAGATTTCATCCAAATACTATTATGTAAGCCAGCAACATACAAAATCCCTAAAAAATTAGTAATGGGAGGGGCCTTATTTTTTTAGCCTATGTCCATGGGCAATACTCAAAAATGATAATAAATTTTAAACATTTAGTTTAGTACATTTAAGAAACTTGGAAATTAATAACTTTTAAAACACTTATTAACTGCCCATTTATTTTAAATACTGCCTAAGTCAAGCTTAAGGGTTTATTTTAAAAAATTTTCTACTAAATGATTTTTATACAGCTCATTCAAATTAAATACTGCCTTGAGTATGTAATATAACTGACCTTTTCTTATATAAAAAAGTGGCAAAATAATTTATTTTAATTATTTATAAATAATTAAATTAATGTAAATGATAATGGATGAAGCGACATCTTAGTTTTTTAAAATGAATATATTACATTACAGTTTGATGCCGGCTTAAACGATGGTACCGATACATCTCCACTAATTGTTATCAATAAATTTAAAATGGAATGATATAATTTCATTTAAGAAAATTATTCATAATACTTACAAACAATTAAAATATAGCTCAAAAAAGGTGAAGAAACACCATACCAACAGACTTATAAGCAAAGTAATTTCTCCGACAGAGAAAATTCTAGTGCCACCACTCGAAGATTCTACATATGCCCTGCTGCCCTCATCCACTACTTTACCAATCAAATGTTCGAATAAAACCACTCCCCCTGCCTCAAATACTAGCTACAGCTCTGCCAATGATTTAGACAAGGCTCCAAAACTTCTACTCGCCAGTATTAGGTTTTTTTTGTTACAAAATAATTTATCGAGAAATTACAAGTTGTCTGACCAGGCCAAAAAATTTTATTATCCTTGATCCCGCTAGAGATTTGCAACGGGCGGGTATAAACCGCCAATATTATGGAGGGGCTAGTTTTAAAAAATAAAACATTGGTACCCCTCCCATTGCAAACCTCTAAGCCACACGGATATCTAATGGTTTTAAATAATTCCATTATAAGTTTTTATTAGATAGATAGAAATTTTAATCCATTAAAAAATAATAAAGATGACTTAAAAATATCAAATTTATTTAGTCATAGTTATTTGAAACTCCCATCCATATTTTGCTTGACCTTTTTTAGAGTTCATTCATTGATTGGCAAACTATTGGTTTAAAAAAAATATATCTTCTCTTAAATTATACAGCAAAAACAATGGCAACCACCCGTCCACCTTTCTCAAACGCAAAATTAAACCTATTCCGGTTTCACATTTTGGCAATACCACCTCACCTCCTATAACCATTCTCGTTTCAACGCCCATCATTGAAACCTCCCTCAAAACGTCATCCCCAGATGATTCACATATTCCTAGTTCCCAATACAAACGTAAAATAGATCCGACGTCATATGCTAACGAAATGGATTCAGATCTTACCACTTCCTTCAATCCTATCATCAAAAAGTTGGACACTCGTTCTACCCCTGTCAGATATTCCCTCAATCAGCCTGCCTTGTCATTGGCAACCTCCTCCACCCACGATTTAGCTTCCGACTTGAAGCTCAACGTGAGCCTCAAAATGCAGTCCTTATCGTTAAATAGAAAGTTGTCTTCCCCCATCATCGAGCCACTTGACTACCCTATTCCTAAAATCGGCGCCCCGATACACAAGTTGCACGCACCTTATTTAACAACCGATCTAGTACCGAGCTTATCCCATTTAAAGGACATGGAGATGCTAGCACTCGGGCCCACTATGCTACCCCCTCATCTTGGGATCAACGACGATATATCCGGCTTTATAGTTAACGCCATTAGGAAAGAGTTAGGGTCATCTCCCGACAAAGTTCATCATTCTAAACCCTTCGAGTTTCTGGAGGCTAATAATAGGGACCCAATCCTCCGTTCTAAGACAATGGTTAACCCTGAAACTGGAATCCTGATGAACCCTCCATCTTTTTTTCCACCATACCCCATCGGTTCCCTCCCCTATTCCAACATGATTGTTCATTCCTTGCAATCTATCAACTCCTCGAAACAATCATTTTTATCTAATGCTGAAGCCAAAAATAATCAATTAATTCGGCCCAAATCGGACAAACTTAAAAAAAATGTTGGCCACCCACTGGGTAATAATATACCACCTTCTTCCTTGTTCGATAGCATGTCGGGCTTTCACGCCATGTTACAATATCATCAAAAGCACAAACTCATGACGGGTAGTCAACAATTACCCTTTGTGTTTCCCACTTTGCCCCATGAAATTTCTCCCCTACCCTTTCTCAACCCAAATTTCTCTTCGAACTCATCTGAAAACAGAACATTTAACCATAAGCAAAAAATTTTACCCACTAGTCTGCAAGATATCGTCTCCAAATCTGTAAACAATGCCACTTTACAGAATGAGGACTCCGAATTTCCCCAGAAATCCATCGATTCAAATTTACAGACCATCATAACGTTAGATGATGAATGATGCATAATATTGTATTAATAACATTTTCAGTTTGTATATAATGTAACTTTTTTGTTAGTTGAAGATGATAATTTTTTTTATATTGTTATTACATTATATATAATTAATTTAATTTGTTCAAATATTAATTTGTTTTTGTTTGTTCGATTTCTTTTTTCATTGACATTAATTTTGTACACAGAGTAGAAAACATGAAGAAAATTAATAAAATTTTTTACCCAAGACTATTATCAAATTTTGAATTTGCTGTAACTAGGACTGTGCCGATCCACAAATTTTTAACCGATCGGATATTGATTTATATTTGACATCTATCTTTGAACCAATTTCATAAAAATATCACTATTTCCTATTTTTTTTTTAAACTAACTAATTTTCACGAATGTTTTTTTATTCTCCAAAAATAATCTCATTTAAAATATTTGCAATATTTATGGGAAATTGCTAAACAGCTCCTTTAGCTAATTTTTTAAAAGTACTTGATCAAGATTTTAACCAAAATATTTTTACCTAAGCCTCGAAATTTCACTAATAGAAGTCTAAACCTTTCTGCCATCTGTTGGCAATATCAATTGAGTAATTTACATTTGGCCAAAGTCTTGTGTTAACTCTTTATAAAAATTGGCTAAATCGAGCCATCAAACTAGCTGAATGTGTCTCGTTAGATATTTTAAAATCATTTTCCTGTGCAGACAAATATAACAAAATATAAAATTTTTAGCTCTTTTTTTAATTATTAAAAATATATTGTATTTTAGTTTCGTTCATTAATTTATTATGAAATTATATATATAAAATAATTAATGGGATCTGTTTTTTTTTAAATATTGACCCGATCCGATCTTTTTTGAAAAGGTTAAATATCAGTGCCCATCCGATATTTAATATCAGCACAACCCCTAGTTTTAACTGTAAATTATGTTTTTTTGAGGACCGTGGTCCGGACCAGTCTTTCTATTTTTTACGTTCCGGACCGGTCTTTTATTATAAGTTTGCTTTACTATTCAATTAATATAATTTTTTTGTATATTTTATTTTATGATTCTAGATGAGTTATTTTAGATTTTGTTAATTTTTATGTTACAATATATGTGTTCACTGCAGTACCAAATTTAATGTATCGTCAGCAACAAGTAACAAAATAATTGTTTATAATTTTTTAAGCAATAATAAATTAATCAAAATAAGCAGTTATTAAAATATTTTGGTTATTATTTATATAGTTCTATTTTTTCTTAAGAAAATGTCTGAATAATTCATTGTCAAAATAACTTAACCTTATTCTATAAAATAATTAGGTACCTTAAGGAGACATTTGATATAATATATACTTCTAATGATGAAAATGAAAATATCTCAAAAACACAATCTACTCTTAATTTTAATATCCCCTCACAAGCACAAAATCACTTTCTTCAATACCATTGGATAAATTTTATTGTTTATACAATACTATATTTAATAAAATGATAAAACAAATTAAACTAGGTTAAAAAAAATATGTTTTTTAAACAAATAAAAAGACCAGTCCTGGACCGGTCTTTTTATTTATGACCACGGTTCGGATCGACCTTTTTCTTAAGGATCGTGGTCCGGTCCAAGGGTATCGGTCCAGTCCGGACCGTGACCTTACTAATTATGCTAAAAATACAATAGAAGTTTATGTACCGATTCCACTTTTTTTAGCTCATAACGTAACAATGGAGGCAGACCCCACTGATAAAATATGTATTGTCTAATGTTAAATTTTTTTTAAAATTATGCAGTGGTTTTATTAGTGAGAGGCTCCTGGGGGCTCTAACCCCATAAAAATGTGGCTAATCCCTTCTAAAAAATTTAAAAACAATTTTGAACGCTCATCCATCAAATTCTGGCAAAATTTTTAGATTTATTTAAACTTTGGATCAAGTGATATCTTAAAAATATTTTTACTTGATTTGATTCATTGATGTTTAATATTGTTATTTATAATTATTTAGAGGACAGGAAAGAGTTTTATACTATCAATCTTCTTATTTCCTTTTGACTTCATTGATTTAAGGCCCAATGTATAATCATTTCTTTTAAACTATGATATGATGTATGAGAAAGTAAAAGGGTTTTGATAAAATATCAAATCACAATCTTTTACAAATCAATATATGGTAAAATTGAGAATAGATCGGAAACCTCATGATATTGTTTGTATATTTATTTGATAATTATAAAAATATAATATTAATTTTTCTATTGGTTTAAACCGAAGGTTGATTGCAAACTCCGGACCGAAGATTGATTGCCAAACTAACCAATTCGAAAGTTCAACCAGCCTATGTTTGGTCCGGTCGTTGAATCGAGAAAAACGGACCGTCACTTTAAATTAACGTTCATCATAAAATATATAATTGAAAGGTTGGTTACCTAAAAATAATATAAATAAAAATTAGATATATCGAATATAAAAGGTTATATAATATCTTATAACCCCCTCCCATTTAAATATTAAATTTTTTAGACTATTTTTAAGTTTTTTGAATTGATATTCTTTAATAAGATATTATCGATAGTTTAATTCGAATGAGGCTCATAAGTTATCTATATTAGAAAAAATTAATTTTTTATTTCGCATATTCTAACTTTTTTAAGGTCAAAGAATAGCCTTTATTTTATTTATTGTTTCAGAAGTTATGTTTTTTATACCCTTCTTTTGGGACTATTTTCACTTTAAACTGCCCCGACTCTGAAATTGGTAATAATTGACCACCCCGTTTTAAATTCTATTATTTTACTAATAAGAGGAATCTCTATCACCTGAGCCCATCACTCCTTTTTTTCAGGGGGAAAATTTAGCTGTATTATACCTAACTGCCATCACTGTAATTTTAGACTTAAAATTGCTAAATTTAAGGATGCCCAATTAATGAAGATAAATGTGGATAAAGGGTCCAACCGGTAACGCAGCCTGATTCTGTTATACTGCTTGTTAATAAAAGAATTATACTGGGAAGAAGGAGTCAAAAAAGATATATTATTTATTCGTGGGAACGCTATATCAGGAGATGAAAGTAAAAAAACATCAAATAAATAATTTTATTTTCATTTCATAATATAATAATATAGATATTAAATAATATCATGTTTATTTGTTTATAATAATAAAATATTTACATTAAATATAAATAAAATGAATTATTTTACTAATAAATGAATAATAATTAATGCTAGGCATATTTATAGAATGCTGACGGACGATTAGCCGATGCAGAATTTTTACTAATTTAGTTTTAGCCGATTTTTTGGCTACGATTTTTATAAAAATGCTATTTTTCTAAAAATTTCGAATTGAGTCGTTATTTTAAAAATTTATTAACTTTTACTAATTCATCTTTCAAATTCTTCCTTATAATGATATTGTATACATTTTTGTGGAGAGAGGGGTGGGGTGTAGGGGGAAAATTTTTCAGCCAGTTTAAAACATATTGCCACATATTAACTAATAAAGACCTGTTTCACAAATTCAAAAATAAAGGTTTTCTAAATAAATATTTTTTTGAGCATGCTCAAATACGATTTTTTGATCAAATTTTGCCTTAAATTTCAAAAATATTTTATAAAAATTTCTTTAAGAGTAATTAATTTTTCTGTGGTTTATATGTAAAAAATATCTTTATTGATTACATTCATAATGATAGAAAGGTTTGAACATCTATTAACAATATCACGAGGCTAGCATAATATTATTTCTTCTTAAATCTTAATTTAAATTAGACAAAATCGAGCCGCCACTATTTCTGCCCTATAGTATATTCTATTAATTTGAATATTATTATTTATATTTTATAGATTAGCGTAAGTATGTAAGTTATTATTTCATCATCATATAATTCTGAATTCATTACCATGATCTAAATAAATTAAATACTTTACAGTAACATCAATATTTAATAAACTAATTCTATTCTTAATAAATGTAAAATTGTCCAAAAAGTATAATATAAGTTTCAAAATCTTCAAGTTTTAATTAAAAGAGATACTTGATTGTAATATTATATTATTGTTAATAATTTATTAAGATTACTAGATTATTATAATAGATGCAATAATAAAAATAATTAAGTATGAAATATTGTATACATAGATAGAGTGACGTAACCAGGATTTTCTAATGTAAAGGGGAGAGAGGGGAAACTCAACCTTCGGCCGGGTCCCTACTATAAAAAATTCTTATATATTATTGATTTTTCGGTGGTCTTTATATAATCTCCGTTAAAGTTGACTAAACAAGTCCTAATTCTAAAATATGGAAATGTTTTGTAATTTATTAGTATTGTAGCCAGTATAAAGGAAAAGATTATTAGTATCATACTTCTTTACTACTTCAGCCCATTTGGTAGATAGTTTAAAGAAAATCATTTTTGGCAAAATAAAAAAAATCGTTAAAATTGGTATCATGCTAGAAGGAAAATTATAGAAGCAATGAACAATATGTAATGCATGATTAGTACTTACTAGTTCATTGATCAATTTTTTTTTCAGCCAATAAATAAAAACTAATAATAAGTGAAATAAAAATTATGGCAAGTCTTAGGCTGAATCTTAAATATCCAATTTTAAATATTAAAAATCAATTTGTTCTGAATACATTAAGGTTTCTTTTCCCCGATTCAAAATATTTATGAATCTTATGATTCTATGATCTTCATATTTGTTGTTTTTTTTCTAGTAATAAAAATCTCACTAAACAAGAGAACAAAGATCTAGAAGCACAAAAGCAATTAAAATGTTAAACGAAATATCTAAAATAATTTTACTATTATTTTCATATAAAAAATGCTAATATCTTTCACAATATGAGACTTGATGTGGTTGTAGTTTTGATACTTCATATTTAATAGCAGCATAAAAACGTAGTCAAATAGATTTGTGGCATATCTTTAACATTTAGTGAAATAGGAATAAATTAACGATTGTTTCTTCATAATGAATTGACAAAGTATATTTTTTTTAAAAAGGAATATATAACAAACTAGGCAAGGTTTTGCAAAATAATATAAAAATAATCAAATATTGAGATCAAATCAATTTATTAAATTAAAATAAAAATCTTTAAAAATACTTTTGATTTTTTAATAAGCCCCCCCCCCCAACCACCACCATGCCTTCACCGCTGCATGGATATAAAATAATTAATATCTTTTAGAATTTATTTATTTTTAGTATGATTATTTGAAATTTCGCTATTATTTTAAAGTTTTTATCAAAGGTTTTATAATTTACATAATAGTTGAACACAATTTAAAGTTATATAAATTTATATATTTTATAAATAATTAAATTTTATATTAAGGTTGGCAAAAAAAGAGAAAAACAGATACTTAATTTTATTAAATAATTTTATTTTAAAATATATTTAAAACTGATAAGTACAATAATTTTCTAAGTTTATATAGTTTACAAAATCTATCAAGTAATTTATGTCGAATTATTGAGTTAATTTTATAAAACGAGTCCACGAGGTTAAAGTTAATATAATATAAAGAATAAAAAAAATCAATAATTTATTTAATAGATCGCGATAAATTAATAGATCAATTTGTACATCACAACATTTCACCCCTTAAGAAACAAACTCCGCTCAAATTCTTCTTGTATGTGAATATTTTATGTTCAAAATATAATCTTGATATCGTGCGGGTAATGTTCTATTCCGGCTAGGCCTCGTAATGTCGGCTGTACAATCTTTATCTTGTTGAGTAACATTTCTCTCCTTGTAAAATGTAATCGTTGGTATTTCATGAATTAATACTTCGTTAGTGGTAAATCTTTTCTTAAGTTGGTCTAAGTGTCTCCTTAATATACCATTTTTCGTTTGAATTTGAAATAACATGTTATTTTCTTTTTTTATTGTAACGCCTTCATCCCACTTGTTTACTCCAAAATTTCTATACCAAATTTTTTCTCCAATATTCATCGTTCTATTTTTTGGTAAAGCTATGAACGCAGTGTTGTCGTCGTCTTTCTTATATTTTAATAAATCCTAATTTGTTCTCATATCATGATTGAACATGAGTTTTCTTGGTGGGATGCCAGTCGTACTGTTTGGCGTGTTTCTGTAGTTGAACAAAAATTTCTCCAAAGCGATATCTATGTCCATGTTATTTTGTTCCATGTACTTCTTCATATGTGATTTAAAGGTTCTTACTATCCTTTCAACTTGCCCGTTTGACAGTTGATGGTGAGCTGAAGTCTGAAAGTGATGTATATCATGGTCTCTACAAAATATTTTGAAGAGTTGACTTGTAAAATTTGAGCCATTATCAGAAACTATTTGTTCTGGAATACCAAATAAGCTAATTGTTTTAATCAATTCTTATATTGTAAATTACGAGGTTATTGATTTCACCGGCGTGATTATAGGAAACTTGCTGTACGCATCTACTATAAGCAACCAGTACTTGTTAAAAAATGGCCCAGCGTAATCAATGTGAATTCTTTCGAATGGCTTCGTCGTTAACATCCAAGGATGCTGTGTGTTAATGGGATTATCGGCCCAAATGTTACATGATTTGCATTCTTTTACTTCGTTATCAATATCATTGTTAATTCTAGGCCACCAAAGTTATTCTTTAGCTAAATGTTTGGTTTTGCCAGCACCAAAGTGTCCTTCGTGTAAATGTTGTAGCATTGATTTTCTTAAAACTTTAGGTACTATGATTTTATTTTCTTTAAATAGACAATTTTCCATAATACATAATTCCGTCACCATATTGTTATATGTTTTATTTTTTATCGTGTCACCGTTTCTAATTTCGTTCATTATTTCCATTTATTCTCTGTCGTTAGAAGTTTCTTTTTCGATCATTTTAAAGTTAATTGGTACGTCCCATAAATCATTATTTTATTTTATACCATCCATAATGTGTATTTCTTCTTCTGAAGGGGTTAATGGCAATCTGGACAAACAATCTGGCACCGTGTTGTGTTTACCCGCTCTATGTCGTATTTGGAAATCGTAAGCTCCCATTGCAATATTCCACTTCTGCAACCTTATCGAGATGGATGAATTTTCTTTTAAACCTTTGGAAAATATATAAATCAACGGCTTGTGATCGGTGATGATTGTAAATTTAGTTCCGATATATTCTTGAAATCTTTTCATCGCAAAAATAATCGCCAACGCTTCGCGTTCAATGTTAGTGTAATTTCTTTCGGATTTAAATAAGGATCTTGAGGCAAAAGCTATCGGCTTTTCTTTGCCGTCCCCTTCTAAGTGAAATAAATAGCTCCCAAACTGCGTTTAGATGCATCCGCGGCTATACCTATGGGTAAATCAGGATTGAAAAAGTTCAATGTGGGAGGTTGACTGATTAAAGTTTTTAATTTTTTATAACATTCTTGATGTTCGGTATCCCAAGACCATTTATCTCTGTTGATTATTTTGTATAGTGGATCTGCCAGATCCGCAAAACTGTTTAAAAATTTAAGGTAATAGCTCGCCATGCCTAAGAAAGTAGATAATTCTTCTGAATTTTTTGGTTCCGGCATATCAACAATAGCTTTTATTTTATCATCGTTGGAAATGTATACCATGTTTGTCTATATCATGTCCCAAAAAGCGTATTTTATCTTGCATGAATAAACTCTTGTCGAAATTGGGGGTTAATCCATACTTGATGATCTTTTCGAATACTTTTTTAATGTTCTCCAAATGTATCTCATCGTTATCACCTATAATTAACAAGTCGTCAATGTAGAATATAACATCTTTTAAATCTCCGAAAACCTGTTCCATAGTCTGTTGGAATATGGCTGAAGATGTTTTCAGTCCGAACGGAAGTCTCGTAAATCTGAAGTATCCTTTATGCGTGGATATAGTTAGCAGATCTCTAGAGTCTTTGTGAATAGGAATTTGCAGGAAGGCTTGTTTGAAATCAATTTTACTAAATTTTTTTCCTCCAGCTAACTTGGCAATCAGATCGTTAATTCTAGGTATGGGGTATTTGAAATCTTCAAACGCTGGGTTAACTGTGTATTTAAAGTCGGCGCACAATCTGAGACTCCCATTGTTTTTAAAAACTGGTGTGAGTGGACTCGCCCATCTAACGTCTTTTACCGGCTCGATGATTTTGTTTTCCAGCCAGGTATTTAATTCTTTAGTTGAATATCTACTCTAGAATAAGGTACCCTTCTCGGTGGTATAATTTTTGGCTTAGCATTTGACTTTAGTCGTAACCTGACTTGCGTTTTTGTAACAGGTTTATTATTTAATTTAGACTTACAATTGGATATTAATTCCGCCAAATCGTTTTTATGATCCGTGTCAATTAAGCCTATAAATCTTTCAAGTATGTTTTTAAAATGTTTCAACCAAGGTCTTCCTAATAAAGGCATCATGTTAATGTTTACTATCAATACATCTAAAATTTAAGAACTTCCTTCGTATTTTACATTCAGTCGTGTTGAGCCTATCACTTGTATGGTCTTGCCGTCGTAACCAGATAACTGAATGTTGGACTTCGTAATGTTTTTTATGCCCACTTTCTTAATCATATATTTTGGTAGAATTGTGAATTTCGTGCCCGTATCCACTTGTAGTGAAGTCAAGATGTTATTAATTTTGATGTTCACCATGAATGCGTCATCTTTAACATTTAGTACTTCGTTTTGTTATTTATATCAATATTTAACAAATTATAATCTTTCTTATCGATTGATATGATTTTGTCGTCTTCGATCTCTTCTATATCAAATGTATTAATTTTATTTGAATAAGGTACTTGGTGTCTAGGATTATGATTGTAATTTTTATTGTCACGATCGTAAAATTGTTGATGCACATTAGATCTATTATAATCTCTAAAATTTTGAAACGGTTGTCTGGTGTTGTCAAATCTGTTGTAGTTTTTGAAATCATTAAAAGGCTTATAATTATTATTATATCCTTTGTTGTTAATATTAAATCTATTATTATTGTTATCTCTTGTGTCGTGATTATTGAAAGGAATATAAGAAGTTTCCCATCTATTTTGATCACAAAATCTATCATAATTTAGTCTTGGAAAATGATAGTTATTTTGGTTGTTGAATCTTATGTTGCCATAATATGGTCGAGTCTGCCATGGTTGTCTAAACTGATGGCTGTAATTATTATCATGATATCTGTTGCTCTCAACATATGGCATCATCCGGGTGTTGTCATATCTGATATTAGTTGGTTTTAGTTCATAAACTTTCTTACCTTGTCTTGTTCCCTCCAAATGTTTTAGATCGGAGTGTGTATTTTCTTTGATGTCAATCTTATGTGTAAATGTTACGATGTCTGTTTCGTCTAATTCTTTGCCTACCTTTATAATGCCATCTAAAATAAGTAAATCTTTAATTCTGTATTTAATTTCCTTAGAAGAGCTTGATACTTTTATTTTTTCTAAAACCCTGTCGTAGCCGATAAAGTTGCAGTCCATATTTAGTTGACAAATACGGGTAACCCAATCTAAAAAACTTTCTCTCTCTTTTTGAACGGCTGCATTGAATTCGCTAATTTTTTTGTTTCGAATCTTGGAAGGCTGTAATAATCTAAGTTTGTTGATGAGTACCGACGATTGAAATCGGACTCAATGCATATCGATTGTAATTTTGAAAATACGTCATCAGGTAAATTATCAAGTAAGGTCGTGGCGTTATCCTCATCTGTGCTGTTATTTTTTTTAAAAATAAGTTCAATTTTGATTAAATATATATCGATATTTCCTATATATTTAGGAAATTCGTATTTATATGATATAGTATCATTAGAAACATTAATTTTATTATCTTCCATCATATTTAATTAATTGAAAAAAAATTTTGTTATTGTTTTTTTTATATAATTTAATTATTTTGTTTTTAGAAATATGAAATTATATTTTAATAAAATTTTAATTTACAAAGAAATTTACAAAGATAGCTACTGCCACCATATTAAGGTTGGCAAGAAAAGAGAAAAACAGATACTTAATTTTATTAATTTTAAAATATATTTAAAACTGATAAGTACAATAATTTTCTAAGATTATATAGTTTATTAAATCTATCAAGTAATTTATGTCGAATTATTGAGTTAATTTTATAAAACGAGTCCGCGAGGTTAAAGTTAATATAATATAAAGAATAAAAAAAATCAATAATTTATTTAATAGATCGCAATAAATTAATAGATCAATTTGTTCATCACAACATTTTATATGATATAAAAAAGTTTTTATATATTAAAAATTTATATAAGAATATTTTTTTTAAATGGCTAATATATTGTGTTAAAAAATATATGGTATTTATTTATATTAAATTACATATAAATTTTTTATAAAAAAATTTTCCTAAAGTTTTAAAAGACGTGAACTGGTTCGATATTTTTTAAAAATGTTTATAGAAGTAATAGCTAAAAAATTTCGAAAAGGGTATGCTTTGCTAAAATGCTTTGCTAAAATGCAATTAATCATAATCAATCATAATTTGATTATATAATATCTTTTAAAATAATTTTTTTAAAAATATTTTTTTTATTTTACATAAATCAATTTTTATTTAAGTAAAAAATTGATATTAAATATAATTTAAAATTCTTTTTTTTACTTAATATTAATGGAAAAAAATATATTTACTAGCTTATTACAACTTAAATTTTATTTTTCAATTACAAAATTTAACAAATTTATATCCATAAGAGGGCGTTAAATGCATAAATATGAAAATATATTCTTAGGAAACCAGAATAAGTATTGGATAGCCTTTTTTTGTATTTGGGTGTAAACACATGTGAAAAACCTAAAAAAATTTTAAGAAATAGATATTTCTTTGACATTTAATTAATGAGTAGGTTTAAAATCGAAAAAATAGTAGAAAGTTTGTAAGGAACATATTGCTGGCGTCATTGATCAAAATCTCTTCATTTTTGGTTTATACGTGTATATTTAGGTGTTAAACATTATCCTAAAAATATTTTGGAAATTTTATGATTTTACCGAATTCCGAACTCAAAACCGATCACTTACTAAATATACGATCTAGCAAATTTTGTAGTAATATCATTTGGAAAATGTTCATTTTTGGTTAATTTATCTATAAATACGTGCAAATCATTATCCCAAAAAATATTTTAAAAATATCATGATTTGACCGATAACCGATTTGAAACCGAAATACTGCGTTACTGGCGCTCTCCATGGAAAATTCATTATTTTTGGTTTATAAGTGAACAATAAGGTGTTAAGCATTATCCTAAATATATTTTTGAAATTATTAAGATTTGACCGAATGGTGATCTTAAAACCGACCACTTACTAAATATTCAATCTACCAAATTTGATAGTAATATTATTTGGAAAATGTTCATTTTTGGTTAATTTATCTATAAATACGTGCAAATCATTATCCCAAAAAATATTTAAAAAATATGGTGATTTGACAGATAACCGATTTGAAACCGGCCCAATGACTAAATACTGCATGCTGGCGTTATCCATGGAAAATTCTTCATTTTTGATTTATAAATGAACAATAAGGTGTTAAGCATTATCCTAAATAATTTTTTGAAAATATTATGATTTGACCGAATGGCGAGCTCAAAACCGACCACTTACTAAATATTTGATCTACCAAATTTGGTAGTAATATTATTTGAAAAATGTTCATTTTTGTTTAATTTATCTATAAATACGTGCAAATCATTACCCCAAAAAATATTTAAAAAATATCGTTATTTGACCGAAAACCGATTTGAAACCGAAATACTGCATTGCTGGCGTTATCCATGGAAAATTCTTCATTTTTGGTTTATAAGTGAACAATAAGGTGTTAAGCATTATCCTAAATAATTATTTGAAAATATTAAAATTTGACCGAATTCCGAGCTCAAAACCGACCACTTTTTAAATTTTTGATCGGCCAAATTTGGTAGTAATATTAATTGAAAAATGTTTATTTTTTTTATATATCTATAAATACGTGTAAAACATTATCCCAAAAAATATTTTAAAAATATAATGATTTGACCGATAACAACATTTTATGACCTTGGCCTTTAATTTGTATATTTCATTACTATGAAAAATTTTCTATGTATTTTTATAAATTTTGAAAATATGATCCAAAAAAAATTTTAAACCCTCTATTATATTATTTTCCAGTTATTGAATTGATATTTATTAAATCCATTCTTTTAAATTGGCAAGGTCAATGTTTAATTTAATAAGATCTTAGGAACGGGGCATTTGACTCAGGACATGGGTATCTTGTATAATATTATAGAAACTGTTGAGTTTGGACCGATGGGTCCCCCAGTCTGAGAATACAGTCCGTGATCGGGGGTCCGGGATGGTCGATGACGGGATCCAGGGGGCCGGGTTTTATCGATTTTGTCATGGGATCACTCGGACAACGTAGTGGAAATAATATTTTCAAAGTTTATTAAAGTCGAAGTTACAAAGCAAAAGTAAAAAAAAATCAAAATCATCCAATACTTAATCAAAAAAATGTATATAAATTTCACAATCAAAAAAATATTTAATGGTCTAGAAAAAGGTATTTTTCCAACCTTTATAATTTTTAAAACAAAGAGAAAAAAAAAGGTTGTTATATAATCGCGATACAATCATTCTTGAAACTGGTTAGAACCAGTTTCAAATGCAATATAAAAATAAGGTATAATATCAATTTCATGGGAAAACAAAAGAAACAAGTGGAGAAAAACGTAAAGAAAAAAAAATAAGTTATACAGGATAAGTGGGGAGATAGAACATAACAGAAACGATTAATAAATCAAGTAGTTTGAGAAAATTACAAAAAATATAATATACTAGCTAATAACCCGTCAAGAATGACGGAGAATTAGAGTTATCTCATTTGAAAGGATAGGTACTAAGTTAAAAGAAAATTTCATCCAATAATTAAGATTTATTACATGTAAACTTGACACCACAACCAGTATTATCCACCAGAGCTCCTGTTAGTCAGCATTTCTGTTCACTCCCCACCGCGTGAAGGTAGGAGATGGATTTTAGGAGAGCAAAGAAATGAAAAAAAGAATGAAAAAAAGAATGAAAAAAAGAAGGAAGAAATAGAAAAAAAGAGACAAAGATATGAATTATAAGAAAATATATAATAATAATTGTATATACCTCAAGACTTCACGATTATTGGGTTCCAACACATATGCATTTGTAACCAGATAAAAAATATAATATAGTAAATTTTATAATATCAAAAATTTTACTAAAAATGAGATTAAAGATATTTCAAAATGAGAGGGATGTTAGATTTTTAAGCATTCGTCTGGAATATCGATGGTTTTGCTCGATGTGGTTCGTTTTTTTTAAATTTCCATGGTTGTAGTGCTTGCCCTAAAATTTTGTTGATTGTAGTTTGCTGTAAATTTATTGTGTAAATTGAAAGTATAAAATAGAATTTACTGATAATGGTATCGGATTTTTGATGGTTTTGCTCAATATGATTCGTTTTTTTAATTTCCATGGTTCTAGCGCTTGCCCTAAAATTTTGTTGATTGTAGTTTGCTGTAAATATATTGTGTAAATTGAAAGTATAAAATAGAATTTACTGATAATGGTATCGGATCTTTGATGATTTTGCTCAATACGATTCTTTTTTTTAATTTCCATGGTTGTAGCGCTTGCCCTAAAATTTTGTTGATTGTAGTTTTCTGTAAATATATTGTGTAAATTGAAAGTATAAAATATAATTTACTGATAATGGTATCGGATCTTTGATGATTTTGCTCAATACGATTCTTTTTTTTAATTTTCATGGTTGTAGCGCTTGCCCTAAAATTTTGTTGATTATAGTTTGCTGTAAATATATTGTGTAAATTGAAAGTATAAAATAGAATTTACTAATAATGGTATCGGATCTTTGATGATTTTGCTCAATACGATTCTTTTTTTAATTTCCATGGTTGTAGCGCTTGCCCTAAAATTTTGTTGATTGTAGTTTGCTGTAAATATATTGTGTAAATTGAAAGTATAAAATAGAATTTACTGATAATGGTATCGGATCTTTGATGATTTTGCTCAATACGATTCTTTTTTTTTAATTTCCATGGTTGTAGCGCTTGCCCTAAAATTTTGTTGATTGTAGTTTGCTGTAAATATATTGTGTAAATTGAAAGTATAAAATAGAATTTACTGGTAATGGTATCGGATCTTTGATGATTTTGCTCAATACGATTCTTTTTTTTAATTTCCATGGTTGTAGCGCTTGCCTTAAAATTTTGTTTATTGTAGTTTGCTGTAAATATATTGTGTAAATTGAAAGTATAAAATAGAATTTACTGATAATGGTAAATTAGTATTATCATTTGCTTTAGAAATATGATCCATAAGCCCCGAATATTCCTCTACACGTAATTTTGATTGGTTTAATTTTATATAATTCAAATTATTAGCTTCGACTTGGAAGTAAGAATCAACAACATATTGATGAAATAATCGCCCAGCATAAAGAATAGGATTAAAAATGTTAGCACGAATAGCTAACCTTGATATTTTAAATTGTAACATAGTTATATTTGATCTTGTTCCCTTGTTAAATGGCCCATTAAATTTCATATCCGTATGCCATCCATGATCACCATAAGGAAATAGTAAAGGATACACCATAGGATCTAAATTTGGGCTAAGAATATTTAAGATAACTAAATTTGAATCATCATTTCGTGGATAAACTTTAACATCACGTTGAAAAGGTGGTTCTCCATCATCGTTATTAAAAATCATTGCTACTTCATCAATAGTAGGAATATTAAATCTTCTTCTATCATTAGCACGATCACGACGAAAAATCATATTTACCTTTGATATAGGACGGTTTTCCAACCTAGCTTTCATTTCTTCGGCCTTCTCAACCTCACCCAATGTTTTAAAGCTAATAGCATATGGATTTATTTGACGAATTAAAATATCAAGTTTTTTTAATAAATGAATATCACAGGCTGAATTTTCTTTTAAAAGTACACGATTTTCAATAGCCTGAGATGTTTCAAGAACATATAATTGTGCATATTTTGGGGAAACGCCATTAGGAGGATATAAATGTGAAGTTCGATGATAAATTTGACCATGAACCCTAAAACAGTATGGGCCTTTATTTAATAAATTATCATTTTTAGCCCCCATCGAGGCAAAGGCCAAGGAGTTGTTGTATGAGCGGATATTCTGAGAGAAATTTTTATAATAATGATTGTCTAAATTTGAAAATAAATCTTTTAAAAAATCTGGATATTGTGGAGAAGGCAATAAAACACGACCTTTGTGGCAGCAATTTTTAAATTTTCCATCAGGTTTTTCAGAAATAAAATTTAATGCATTACAATATGGGCATAGAATATTTAATGGCCCACAGTAATGTTCAACTTGTTCTTGATTTTCAGTATCTTCAAGATGATTGGATGTTGAAGCAAATTGTTTATTTCCAGTATCTTCAAGATGGTTGGATGTTGTAGGAATAAGACTTTGCTCGTTCCTTTTCTTAATACGACAAAGTGCCTGTATCTTTCTAGCTTTCTCCTTATGTTGATTTATTATTAAAATTTAAAAATATAAGAATTACTCAATTTTATAAAAATAAGTTTAGTTTAAAATATTTATTATTGTGGACATAAAATAAAATTACTAAATATATACTTCATAAACATATTTATAAAAAATAATGGAAAATATTAGAATAGCCCCTCACCTAATAAATATATATTTCGGAATCACATCTTATAAGATAGGAAAAATCTGATTCCTCGTCATTCTTGACGGGCTATCAGCTAACATACAATAAATTAAAAAAAATATAAAATTTACTCTTGTTGAAGCAATATGCCTTCTTTAGATTTTGGTAGTATGAAACGTTCCATTGTTTGGTTTTGTTGAATGGTATCTTGTGTAGGAATCTAAAAAAAATAATAAAATAGATTTTAATGGCCCACAGTAATGTTCAACTTGTTCTTGATTTTCAGTATCTTCAAGATTAAGATGTGTAAATTGAAAGTATATGGTTTTGCTCGATGTGGTGTCTGTTAAAAAATATAATTATTTACTGATGATTGAAGGTTTTGCTCGATGTTGTGTCTGTTAAAAAAAATATCAATTATTGTAATTATTATATTATTATATGTTTTGTAATTGTTTTTTGTATTGAAATTCTTTTTTTGAAAATGGCGGTTCGATTTGGTTTATGAATGCGTGTTTGATATGTTTAAGCTATGATGATTTTTATTGAATATATATATTATAGATTTGAATTCCTTAGCTCTTGTAGGATTATCTGCAAACATTTTTTTCATACTAATGTTCCTTCCTGCCTATTGCCTCAAAATACTTCTGAAATGCTTTCCATGATTTATAGGAGATTAAATCCATTTTGCTAATATGATCTAAATTGGCTTAAAATTGCTATGATAGATAGATAGATAAATTATAGACATATAGAAAGAACAATATATTTGACATCAATTAAGACAAATATTTACATTTCAACTTAGAAATATAATGCTATTTAAAATAAAATATAATATTATAGATGGCGCTAAATATCATGGAGATTAAAACTACAATTTAACATAACTTAAATACTTCCGAATTTGTTAATATTAATTAAATATTATTATGAATCACTCCCTATTTAAGTAGGACAAACGTCCAATAATTAATAAAGAAGTTGAATATTACATAATATATTAACAAAATTATAATTGACTATTATCAGGTAAAATAATTGACTATATAATGTCACAGTTGTGACTGTGACTGTGACAAGCCTTTTATTATATAAGATATCATATCATCAAATCTATCTAACAATGAGTGAGATGGTGTTATCGATTTATAAAATATTAAAGTTGGTATAAAAATTCTTGTTTTCATCCATAAATATAAACTTTTCAACTAAATTTTTATTTAAAAGCCTTATGTTTGCAAGAAACTCGCGCTTAAGAGGAATTTAAATAGTTTCTGTTCAAAAACAAAGGACTATAGAGCGGAAACCTTTTTTCTGCCCTTCTTTTCCTTTCATTTTTTCTTTTCCTTGCTCTTTTTCTTTCCATTACACCTTTTCTTTCCCTTTCACCTTTTCTTTACCTTTCTACTTTTCCTTTCTCTTCCTCTTAACTTCCCTTTCTCTTTTCCCTTTTCTTTTTGCTTTCTCATTTCCCCCCATTTTTCATTCTATTCCATTTTCTTTCCCTTCTCCTTTCCATTTTCCTTTTATCTTTATCCTCTTTTTCTTCCTCTTTTTTTCATTTATCTTCCTTTCCCCAAATACATTACTGTATTTATATTATAAAATAAAATTTTATATCTATTCTTAAGGATCCCACCCTTTTAAAAAATGTAATTTCGTCATTTTCCCACTGTTTATTTTCTATTACAGTAAAAAAAAAAGATACATGGTTCGCTAATTTATAAGACCATATATAGATGATATTATAATTATTTAAATAAAATTCTATATCTATTCACTTCTCAAGGATCCTGGCTTTTATGATGTTTTCCAATTCGTCTCCACGAAAAATATTTCATTTTATCCATGTTGATTATTTGGTATAATTCACTAAAAAAACTATATGTGATTCAAAATTTTATTATAATCAGATTGAGATAACAATACATATTATTATATTTTTATAATTTAAATAAAATTATATATATTCAGAGTCCTACCTTTCAGGCTGTCCAATTTGTGGCTTATAACATCATACCCATTCATTCCTGCTGATCAGCCCCATACCTATATTATATTTTTATTTAAAAAGTGATCCATCGTTATTTGTTACTCATATTATTTGTTTACTGGGAATTCCTGATTCCGCGCCATTTATGATTCCCAGGCTACATTCCCCATAGCCGTGAGCCGTGTTAGGACGTTGCCCTAGTTTAGATTAATTTTTTAAGTCATATAAAAAGGTCTTATAAATCTAAGAGTATCCCTAATATATATTATAACAATTAATCAGAAATAAAAAACTAATCTTTAAGAAAATGAAAAATATAAAAATTAGTAATACATCCGAAAATATATTGAAATCATTGATGTCTGGGAAAAGAAGAGAAATTAATTCACATTGGAAATTTGCCTATTTCCTCAGAAGCGTTATTGGGGGGGGGCGCACATCACAGTCACTCGAGCCCTCTGAATTTGAAGAGCCCACTTAAAATTGATTTTTTTATATGTAATTTTGGATAATGTTATCTAAAAAAAATAAGGTAATTTTGAAAGTAATTGTAAAAAATGTTTTGTGCTCCCTGAGAATGTAAAGGCTAGTGTGACCCCTTTTCCTCAGATATCAAAAATGTATTATCACGAACAATTATCTGGAATAAAAATATCTATAATTTTTTACAATCTCTATAATTCAAAATTTTTAGAATATATAACTTCTTTTTTTTATAAAAGAAGAGAAGTAAAAACCCTAAATCGCTTTAAAATGTGTAACATAAGCAAAGGTCGCATAATATGTTTGGTTAAATACCTTTAATAAATTTTATGGGTAAAAAACAAGACTAAAATAATAATGTTTTTTTATGGAAGTCCTCAATTGAGTCCTTGTTTAAACCAAAACGAATTGTTTATCTAATGCATGTTGAGGTTTGTAAGACACTTAGTTTTCTAAGTCATAATATTCGCAGATTTCATCACCTCCTCACCAATCTATATCCTTTTTTTTAAAAAAAATATTGCATTAATTGTGGTCTAAATAATTTATTAATACATTCCAGTGTAAAAAAATCGGCTATCATATTGAATCTAACAATCCGCTGGCTGTGCTGGTAGAGTATTGATAATTTAATGATTATTTTTTTAAAAATATATGAAGGAGTACGCAGGAGTGCTATTATAATTAAAACGAGTTATTAATATAATTACATGGAAAATATATTGCAATAAAGTATTTTCAATATATCGCCGTAAATTTTTTAAAGCATCGTGTCTGATAATTTTGAAACTGCATTCTAATGTTTTATAAATTTATTATGAAGCTTGGATAATATTTTATTCATCATATGATATGGAGCTTAATTTTTTTTTGATAACAGATATTCAAGTAATACTTTTTAGAAATCATTAAACTTCATCGAAAATTTTTTAAACTTTATTTATTAAGTTAAATTATAGATATCTCATTTATCAAGTTTTTAACGAGCTAAAAGGGCTTTATATTAGATAAATTGTAAATATTTATAAAATTTTTAACGATTCTAATACGATATAATTTTCCCTGTAATTAATTTTCCTATAATAAATATAATTAGAACATTTATTTTTCGATGGCACTAGTTTTGTACATAAAAAAATAATATGAATCCTATTTTTTAAAATTTTTAATTTATTTAGTAGCATTGTGCTGATAAAAAATTGTATATATTACCTTATAACAGATTAAAAGTATCATATAAGGCTTTGGACTGGGTGCCATTAAAAAATAAAGTATGGTGGACTGCGAATAGGGGCAACCTAGTTGCAAGTATAAATAATGTTATTGACAATATTTTTGATAGCAAATATATTCTTGGCTAGGTGCAACCTAGTTGCAAATATAAATAATTATATTGACAAATTTTGATGACAAATATTAAAACTGATATATACCAACTTTTAAAGTATGAAAATATTAAAAAATGGCAACTTTCAATGTGGGTAAATTTAAAAAAATGATAAACATATATCTACTTTTAACATGAGTATTTTTAAAAATGAAATAATATATAACACCTTTGGTGAATTTGGATCTAACTGAAATTCCTTATGATACCAAATCTTCAGTAGCTTCTTTATTTTATTAAATAATAGATACACATCTAAAAGTGTGTCATGGTTTTAAATAGATAGCTGATATTCTAATAAAAATATGTGATCCTTTACCTATAATTTAAAAAATTTTCCTACTTTTATTTTAATCTTCTAGTTTTTAGGTGAAATATTTTAAAATTTATACATCTTATTTTCTACAAATAAAGGTGTAGAATTTTTTCATCTGATTCAGATAGATAAACAACATTTAGCTTATGTTAGAATGGTATTTTCAGAAAATCTATTTTTATATATCTGAATTTGTGGAATGAAAATTTTTTTTTATTTTAGAGGGGATTCCATTTAGTTTAGACATAATTAAAGCCACTTTTTATTTAAAATCAATAATATTATCATTTCTTTTTTAAACTTTATTTGGCTTTAATAATAAATAAATTATAATTTAAAAAGTTATCTTATATTTAATTTATATTTCTGTAAATTTAGTGAATATAAAATGACAAAAGAAGTTAAAATTACTGTAAATAATTATTAGGGTATTGTATATGAAAGTTATTATCCTCCAAAAAAAGCTTTTTTTGCTTAATTCTAACATCATTTATAAAAAATGAGAAAAAATTCAAGCAAACAAATTTAATTGAAATAATTTTATTCAATAAAAATATTCATTTCATTTACAACTATAATTCTAATAAAAACATAAATAATTACAAAAAAATACATTTAACAACAATCATCATAAAACCAACGAAACAAGGTTTTTAAAATAATTTTTGGCATTTGAATTGTAGCAAAACAAGTATTACAAATAATAGAAACATCATCATCTAAAGATAGGAAACATTTCTGACATCCAGGACTCTGCCATAATATTATTTTTTAAATCCTGTATCTGTCCCCATGCATCACTTGTCAAATATGATTTTATTATTTCAAAATTCACTTCATCATTTTTTAGACATTGCATATAATTTTTTATGGTATGAATATCATCAAAATCAACTTCCTTTACCTGGGGAGCATAAATGTGTTTTTATCTAGATATACCTAGATCATGATTTTTGTGATCTTTTATAAGTTTCACAATTACTAAAACTGTAAAGTTAAATGTGCATTCTTTTCTAAAGCTGGATGCCTTTCTTATTCTAGATGATCTTGACTTCTTTTTTAAAGAATATTTGCAAACAAAATATTTGGTATTTATATTGTTTCGATATTTCAATAGTTCTGATTTATATATGGATTATTAAGTTTTCCTTTTCATATATAGCCATTGACTTTTTAAAATCTTCTATGGAATTAAATGTTGCATTTAGATATAATGCCATTTATCTTTATAAAACATAAATTATAGTTAAAAATAATATTTACCTATTTTTTGATGAATTTCTTTGCAACCTTATTTACATATAGCTCAATATGGATTAACAAAAATTATAAAATTTAATGACAACTAAAATTTTACTGTGCATATAAATAGAATGCTTTTTTTATAAAATATAAATTATAATTAAAAATAATATTTACCTATTTTTTGATGAATTTCTGATGATAAAAATAGGACATTTTTTATTGGCAGGAAGAAGAAAAAAGGTTGAACACATCCTTTGCAGTATTAGGGTAATAGTTTTGCAGAAAACAGATCTATTCCAATATTATCATTGATTTTGGCCCTTTTATATATAGATATATTATTTTTAACTTGATAATTTTCAAATAAAGATGAGTAAAAGGAATTAAAATTTAATTTATTTGTGATATTTGAAAAAGTGAAAATGAAGCACACCTCCCTTCCCCCCCTATTTTCATAAATTAGTTGCCACCTTTTTAAAAATAACCTAACTTTTAAATATTTGTTTTTTATCAGGAAATTGTTTAGCATATATTTAGAAATCTAAAAAATATATTATATTCAGAGATGTTATAATATTATCCTTTTAGCCATTACCAATATCACTAAAATTAGAGACCTATATCAGAGGGTTTTTTCAGGTCCAGCAGAATCCAAAGAAAGAGGTTTAATAATTTTGTTTAATCAAACCAATCTAGATATTTTATTTTACAAATAGGTTGAGCCTGAATGAAATATTGAAAAAGTAAGATATTTTAAGTCTTAAAAAATCAGAAAAGTTATAAATGCAGGATAATTAATAATTTTGTTGTTAAATATAAAAACCCAGTGATTCACCCATACCACCTTTTCAGTCAATAATAACCTAATTGGTACCAAATTCTGAGTCAAAAATAATAATATAGTATATTTATATTGGAAAAAATAAAAATATATATCAATATAATATTATTTTTTTATTTATTAATCATTTATAGTTAATTTACTAAATTTTGAAGAAATAGGAAATAAGGATTAACAAAAATTTCTATATGATTATATATATATAAATTTATGGTAAAATGAACCTTTTTATAGCATAATGTTGATTATAAAAAAATATTCAAAGTTAATTCATTTTTCAGTATTGGGCACTGGTATAATAAATTTTTGTCCAATTAAAGTACTGACTATTATGATGAGTATCACATCTCTGATAAAAAACATTAACAAGATAGTTTATAAATTTTAGAATGTCTGTGTATGATCCATTCAGAAATAAATAATCAAGTCCGAATCTTGCCAAGTCCAAAAAATGTCTGTTTAAGTATGATCAAACTGAGCTGAGTTTTGGATTAGACCAGATTTGTACTCAAATCTTGCAGATAGTATTGGTATCAGTGCATCTCTGTTTATATAATTATTTTTTTTAGATTGTTTTTTAATAATTTACTATATTAATTCAATAATCTTCTCATTTTTTTTTTGATTTTCAACTTAGGTACCACCTTTATTAATCCTTGAAATGGAAAAAAATAATCATGTGTATTTTTTTTTTATTAAAATGAATTTACCAGGTTTTAAATTTCATATATTAATTATTGGGATCTGATCTGATTTCACAGATATTTTAAGTTTCATACTGTCAATCACTGCCTGTTATTAGCTATCCAATTTATATAATAATATGAGGAAAATGTCTATAGGGATTAGAAATAAAGATCAGCCCATTAAACTGGCCCATTCAGATTTTTGAAATGTTTTTTGAGGTCTTTAAATTATAGTTTTGTACAAGTTGTCCTACTATTTTTTGGCTGTAATGATTAATTTATCAAAAACTCACGTAATTCCTGGCCTATACAGTTATTTTTCGCATGTCTCATCCTGAATAAAATATTTAGTCTAAATTGTCTGGGCCAACCAGAAATTCTTTAGCCAGTTGTGCAGATCTCTGAATAGAATGAAACATATAACAAGTAAATAAATTTACAGATATTAGACAAAAAGGGCTATTTCGATTGAAACCCTAAAAATTCCATTTTGCTTGTTCCAATTTTTTTAAAATATATTTGCCGAAAGCTTGGACCGATAGGCCTATAATTCCTATGAGAATAATTATTAATTAATTACCTATATATTTGACAAAAAATATTTAATATTATTAACATGACAGTTAATATAAGGAAGGAGTACTATTTTTTATCCACCATAAAAAAATAGAAAACTAATGTTCAGAGTTTGAAATGCTCTTCAAAATAAAAAATCTTCGAAGAGGATTCTTGATTTAATTTTATTTAAAATTCCCAATTTTTTTTTTTGATTTTGTGATTTTTATTCATAAAAAATCTTTCATGATGAAATTGCAATTTTTTAATGCAATATTTTTTGGGAAAAAATCGGCATATCACTAATTAATTTTTAAAAATAAAATAAGAATATAACATTGAATAATAAAATAAAATAAATGATGTTACGATTGATTGACAAAATGTTTGAATATTTACAAAAAGATAAATATTTCACAGCCGAATTTAAACTTAGACCCGATTTGAAGGAATATGCAATTCAAACAACATTTGCATTAATCCTTCTCTATTTTTTGCAATCCCCTATACAAGAATGCCCATAACTAGACATTTTGCCACACATAAAAAAATTAATATTCATTATTCTTCTAGTAAAATTTTGGGTAGATAGGATTTAAAGTCACAGTGATACATGCGGGTTAGGGTATATATAATAGAAAGAATATTATTGCTTTTCAGGGTGTGTAAATAAATATTAGTTTGATTTACATCATTTTTTTAAACTAAACATATTTATTATTAAAATTTATTACTTACAAATCACTTGACATTTTTTACTCCAAATATCAAATATTATTTAAACTTATTTTAGCAAAATTATATTTTTTTTTTGGGGGGGGGGGGGGCTTTCTCATAAGCTTAAAAGCTATTGCAATG